GGCCCCTCGGGGTGCCCCGCGCCCCGCCGCCTCGGCCTACCGGGGCCCTGGTGGGGACCTAGGGGTGCGTGCGCCCGGCCTCCCGCGCAGCTTCCAATGCGAAAGAACTTGGAGAAAGTTGGTAAAGTTGGTTCCAAGATGGCTCCTCTGCGCGGCCCGGGAGGCGCCGCGCATCAACCTGCGGCGGCGGCAACGGTGGCGGTAGCGGTGGCAGGGGCTCCAGGTGGCCGGCGCGGCTCAGCCGGCAGGCAGGCTCCGCTCTCCAGCGACCGGCTCCGGCGACTCCCTCTGCCGGCCCCCAGCTCTCCTCTCCCCGCCGGCCCCGCCCCGCCGGCCCGCGGAGTATTGTTCGGGCCCTGGGGGGAACCGGCGAGCGGGCGTGCCAGCAGGATCGCTATGGAGACGCGGGGGCGCGCGGGGCGGAGGGGGGCACCCCCTCCCTACTCGGGAGGCGGGGCTGGGCGGGGCTCGGGGCCCCAGGCGGCCTCTGCCAGGGGAGCCCACCTCGCACGTCGGAGTCCCGGGCACAGCCCGGAGCCCTCCTCCGTTCCGAACGCAGCTAGGGGCCCAGTGACTGCTAGGGAGGGGACCCGGGGGTCTAGGCCCCGGGGCGGACCCGCGGCGGAGATAGGGGGCGGGTTCCCGTTTCCAGCCACACGTAGAGAACACAGTCCCTGGACTTTGAAACCCGATAGGCGAGTGGCCGAATTCAGGCCCCACTTGGTTTAAAGCGCAACTTTTAAACGCAAAGTAGCCTGGGTTACCCTTCAGGATTGGGTTGACCATTGTGCTTGGGAGTGGGGAGTGCAGCGAGCTCGCCTCCCGCCTTGCCTCTCCTCCCAGAGCGCCGCCTCGGAGTGCCACCCTGGTTGGAGGCGCCAGGAGGGAACAAACTGGAGGGGGGGGCGCTCTTTAGGGCCGTGACACCCCCTGGGGGGATTGCACACGCCTTCATTAGAACTCTGGGTGAGGAAACACACTCCAACTTCTTTGTGGTCTTGGGTCGTTGAGGGCCTGGGGGCGGGGTGTGTGTGTGTGTGGGGGGGGGAGCAGGAAGGCGGGGGAAGCCGGTGTTGGATCTCTCACTTCTAAAGAAAGTTCCTTCTGGGTCCCGCCGAAACAGAGGGGTGGGAGGGATTGCAAAGTGACACCCCGAGCGGGTGTACAGGGTGGGGGTCTGATCCGGCTTCTGCATTTCCACGCTGAGTGCAGGTGTGAGAGTGGAGCATGGGTGAGCGACAACTAACGCGGACAATCTCAACTATGGGGAGGGTTTCTCCTTTGGCGTTACAGAAATATAAATAAATCAATACCGCTGCTCAACCAGTTTTGCCCAAAGCTGCTGAAAAGAATGTCTTTGGGCTGAAGCCAAAAGTGAGCGTTTTCTTCCCATTAACGAGGATTTAAAGACGCTGTGATTGACCTGAAATGTTTTTGCGTCAGAACTTTTTAATTCTGGGAGTTTCCAGTGGCCAGTCCTGCTCAGAAGTGTGTGGGGGATGGGGGAAGGAGAAGAAAAGTTTGTCCCTTAAAATCCAGACCACCCTGTATGTGCTGAGTTGGCTCAGAGGACCGGAGGGAGTTTATTTAGGTCAAGAAGGCAGGGAGAACCCCAAGACTCCTTCTGGTGGTTCCCATGGAAGACCCCTGAACTGGAGTGAAGGCAAGCCAGGTAAAACGAAAAGTTGGGAGAGTCCCAGAAATATGCATTGTGCAATAGGGCTTAGCACAGGGTGGGTTGGGTTTAGATAAATAAAAGATTGGGTTGCACCGCACTTGCTGGCTTTTGAAAATTCAAATGCAGCGAATGAGCTTGGGTGTGGGCCTGCTTTTCCGGAACACAATACCTGCGAGGAGACTAGGGCCGCCTAAGCCATTATCTGGCCCCAGGGCACAGGACAGGACCAGGAGACCAAACCAGATCCCAGTTCACCTGTGGGTCCAAGACAGCCCAACTCAGCCCTCTTCTCCCCTTAATGGAAGACCACCGTTACGGGGGAGAGGAAGAAAAGCAAGGGAATGATTATGAGCAGTCTGGGATCACAGGGGACTTGCTGGGAGAGCTATTTTTCAGCCTCAGAGTTACCTGAGTGTGGCTATATAATCACTAGCTCAACTCTGTGTAAATACAGGTTTGATGTTTGTTTCTGTATGCATGCACATTATGTATTCTACCATTAAAAGAAAAAAAAAAGAGAAAACCAGAGGGGGAGGAACAAAAAGTTGAGTTGTACCCCAACTCTTGCTCTCGAACTGAGGATTCCGAACCAGCTGTGATCTTTGTGCAAACAGACTGCCACATCTTTCTCCTGGGAAGCGGTTGGTGGGTTCGAATCACCAACCATTCCATTAGCAGCCAAGTGCTTAACCACTGTGCCTTCCAGGAGCATCAGCAGGACAGAAATCCTGAGTTCAAATTCTGCCACTAACTAGTTGAAGAAATGAATAAGGAGAAGGCTCGAGATTGTTGTCAGCATCTCTGTTAACTGTTGTTGTTGGTACTCAGCTTGCGTTCTGTCTTCGAGGTGGAGGCTGAAATTGTCAACTGATCTATGCATACAAGTGTGGTGTTCTAGGATCAGCACTGGCCTGCCTACCACAAGGTTGGTAGTTCAAACACACCAGCAGCACCTTGGAAACCGTATATGGGGTCACTAGGAGTCAGAACTGGTTTGACAACCCTAAACAACAACACAACCACACAAATCTGTGTTAGAAGAAGTACACCCAGAGTGCTCCTTAGAAGCCAGGATGGCCAGCCTGTGTCTGTCACACTTTGGGCATGTTGTCAGGAGGGACCAGTCCCTGGCGAAGGACATTATGCTTGGTAAAGTGGAGGGTGAACAAAAAAGAGGAAGACCCCCAGTGAGATGGTTTGACAGTCTCAGCAGCAAAGGGCTCAAGTGTAGCAATGATTGTGAGGTTGGTGTAGGACAGGGCAGTGTTTCGTTCTGTCGTGCAGAGGGTCACTATGAATCAGTACCGACTCGACGACAACAACAACAACACGTATCTGTGCTAGTGGGAAGGTGAGGGCTAAAGTTGCATCTCTTTCCTAGGGGTCTATGGTTTTGTTTTTTGTTTTTTATAAAAAGTGAAATGGTCCAGAGAGGGCAAGGGACGTCCCTGGGGTCCCAGACAGGGGCCTTGGCATATATAGTCGCCTCTTCCAACACCACCTGAGGAGCTGGCTTCAAAGACTTGGTCACCTCCCAGTCTGCTCTGGGGGAGGTATCAGGAGGGCTTCTCCCTCCCTCCTTCCCTCCCTTCCTCCCTCGCTCCAGAGCTCTGTGAAATCAAACTCCAGAGAGTTTGGTCTACTCACAAGCTCTCAGGGGTGCATCCTAGAGGTGAATCGAGGTTCTAATTAGGCATGTTTTGTGTACTAGTACTTTCCTGACCTACCAGAACCAGAATCACCAGAACCTGTCTAAGTACATGCTTGGGTTTCTGTCAACTAATGTGTGGTGGACTGGGGAGCATGATCCGTGATGCCTTCTGAGATGCTCACGCCTGGTCACATTGCACGGAGCCCTACCCTAGCTCCAGGAAGATTCTGGATGCTTCTTTGAAGGACAAAAGCTGGAGTTTCATTTGAATTCACTCTTTTATGTTTGTGAACTCAGAGTGGTGGGCACAGTTTTTGACCCAGAGTAGTTATCGCATCTTTCTAAAGAGGAGACAAAACACCCCTCCGCTCCGTCCCGCACTTTATTAGCCCTGCAGGCCACCACGCCCAGCCTCAGGCTGCAGTGCCCTCTAGCGGCCAACCTTAAGATATCTGTCATTGCTGCTGTTAAATGCCTTGAGAGTCTTACAGAGACTCCAAGGAGCGATTGGTGACTTTGAACCATTGACTTTGTGGTTCAAATTGCCCTTGTGCTCCACTGTTTATCCTACAGTGCCACACCAAGACATGACCTCAATTCCCACTCATGGTGACGCTGCAGAACTGCGCCATCCATACATTGATTTCCAAGGCTGTCAGGTTTAAGACTGTCACATCTTTCTCCTCTAAAGTGGCTGCTGTGACTAAACTGCTGACCTTTTAGAAGCGGCAGAGCACTTAACCCTTGTGCCACAGGGACTCTCCTCCTCTGCCAGTGTCCACCACTGCACTGTCCAGGAGCAAGGGGCAGACACCTGAGCAAGCCTGGCACTCTCGGCTCTGTGGAGGCCACACTTCTATTAGAACGTTGTGTACATGTGACCGCACACCAAGCAGGGCACACAGACTCCAGATGGCATCACCCTGACCCCCCGGGACCACTGAGCCCCTCACTGTCTGCAGGGTCAGACTCCTAGTCCTACTTACAGATTGCAAACCCAGGCTCCTCGTACATGGCATGAGGAGGGCATTGGAACCCCACCATGGCTGCTCGTCCCAGGTCTGATCACTGCCCACTGAGCCAGCCTGAGCTGGAGGATGGTGAAGGGCCAAACTCAGGGCATTTGGGGGAGAAGTGGTTTGGAGGGCCACCCATCTGAGGGTCCCAGGGTGGTCCCACATGGTAGGAAGAGAGTGGAGTGGAAGGCTGAATCCATGAGCAGGAAGGAGAAGACAGCTGGGCACCCAGAAGAGCACTGCAGGCATTCTGGGCTCAGTCTTGTCGTCATCCTCATCATGATCCCTAGCCCCAACCTAATGCCCATAAACATGATCATGAAACCAGTGTGGTAGAAAGGACTCTGCTCTTAATTTGATTCCTTATTTATAAAACAGGTATACATCCCATGCCGTAAGATTTTCCCTGTAGTAAAGTGCACAGTACAATGGACCAGTAAACAACATTCTTACCAACGGAGAAAAGACTGAAGTTGTCAAGGACTTCAT